AGTTGCATCTTCTTAAGATGTTTACACAGGGAACAGATTAAGAGCAGAAAACATATCAGGGATGCAGTAAAGGGTAGAATGTTTGCTACTGTGAAAACAGTCACATATGACATCTGTGCAAAATTCCTCAGTTTAATCTTATAAGTCATGTTCTCTTCACATTCTTTTATGTTCACACTCTCATGTATATTAACTGCTACAAGATGAAAAAACAAAATGACCAATGTCCCCAGCAATAACATTACAACTACTTGTTGAACTCTCCTTTTCAAGTGAAGAAAAATAAGGTTAGAGAAATTAGCAATCTTGAGCAAATAAAATATGCTGAGGCTAGTGGCAAACCAGATGCTAAAATGGTTGGCCACTGTCCAGGCATTGTGAATAATAATTCTTAATCCCATAGTATAGAAATCTGGATGAAACACAATTATGTACCAGTGCATTAATATTACCCAGAGCAAACAAATTCTGGAAATCGCCAGAGCAGTGAGGATTTGATCAGCGGAGGATATCTTTTGTCTCTTCACCCAGTCAGTGAAGTTCACCAGTGCTATGAATCCATTGGCAAAATTTCCAAAAACAAATTCTGTCATTAGTAGAGTGTAAAAAATGATAGGTAGTAACCTCATCATGCCTGAATAGCAACAACAAAAAATAAAATCAGAAAAAAACTTCAGTATCACTGGTTATTTTTTTAATATCCTGACCTTTAGTTCTGTATCCACCATATTTCTCAGAGTCCAGTAAATTCTCTGGTCAATGTCAAGCAGGAAGCACCATAGCATGCTAATGAAAGTTATTGCCATCTTTATGGAAAACATAGTTTTCTCAATTAGCTCAAATAAACTCCTATTCAAACACTAGATGCCTTGCATATAGGTGGAATCTTTCTTATCTCATATCGAAATAAGAACTGAACTTTCATTTGCAAGCACGCAAATAATGATATATTTTCTTTCCTTATTTTGCAATATTCCCTTGATTAAGTTTTGCATAATTTGTGTTCTGTAACCATAGTGCTAGGAAAACTTAAAGCCAATATGTAAAACACGCGTGAATGTCTAGATCGTTAGATGGATCTTTGTCTAACTGTGATCACTACACTGGATTTCTTTTCTTTAAGTCAGATTTATATGAAAACAATCTAAACTTTTCCTTTCATAAGCATTCAAAATCATTATGTGGAAGATATATCTGCATTCTTTTGACTGTATATAAAAACAATTTGTAATTTCTTTCAATATACTTAGAAGAAAGGATTTAAAATGCTTCCAAAATAATGAGAAGATACATGTTTAAGGTGATGGACATGCTGATCATCCTGCTTTTATCACCATACATCACCTGCATGTCTGGAAAAGTCACTCTGTATCCCACAGATATGTAGAATTATTATGTATCAATTAAACAAAATAACAAAAGTTTAAAAATAGTATGCAAGGCTTTCTTGGGAACACAAAGGTCAATACTTTCAAAAACATGGTTGACAATATTGAATACTTTTGCATAATTTTTACTCCTTTTTTCATTTTCAGTATGCTTAATTTATTTAAATGTAATTACAGATATCCAATGATCACCCCTCAGGGGTGATGGCCACGCCACAATCCCTTCTCCTCCATTCTCCTCTTGGGATCTTGGGCACGCACACACACGCGCCCGGCATGAGTTTTAAGCCACCAGGTCTGGGACGCGAACCACAGTCAACTATGTGGGAATCCAGCGACATGGCCATTACTCTAACTGCTGGTCCCATGCTGACATTCTTTTTGAACAGTAAACATTTTTAAATTTTTTTATATATTCAATCACTGTGTGTCATTACATTATGCAAAAAGAATTTTTCCCACATAAATCCACTGAGTATTAGTCTAGTTAATGAAATACACATTATTATCAATGAATAATTTTCCATTTTTGTGATCCTTAAATGTTTTATTCCTTTCTTTTTCCTCTTGGCTCCCTTCCTCTCACCCTCTCCCATTTCCCACCCTACTCCCACACTGGCTCTAGTATCCCCATACCTTTCAGTCTTCCACTTTCTGCCATAGAGTGCAATCATTCAATGTGATTGTCTTGGGACATTCAATGGCTCTCTTTCATAGTCTGTCTTGCTTCACTTAGCAATAAATTTTCCATATTCATCCACTTTCTATCAAATGCCAAGGTCTCATTGTTCTTTTATGGCTAAGTAGTGTATATGTGTATGCACATACATAGTGTATATGTGCTACACTTTTTGAATCCATTCATCTGTTCGTGGATGTTTGTATTGGTTCCATGTCTTAACAATTGTGAATAATGCCACAATAGACATGTATGTGCAAGCACTTTTCTGACTGAGTGTATTCCTATGCTTTGGGTAGATACCCAGCAGTAGAATTGCTCACTCACATGGCAGTTCTATTTGTAGGTCTTTGAGGAACCTCCATATTGCTGTCCATATAGCTTGTACTAATTTTATTCCATACATAGTGTAGGAGAGTTCCCTTTTCACCACAGCCTTGCCAGCACTTATCATTTATATTTTTTTTAATCTTAGCCATTCTGACTGGGATTAGACAGTATCTCACTGTGGTTCTGATTTGCATTTCCCATATAGTAAAGGATGTTGTGTATTTTTTGATATGCTTTTTGGTTGTTCATATGTCTTTCTTAGAGAATTGCCAGTTCAGTTCATTTTCCCATTTTTAAATTGTGTTGCTGATTTATTTATTTATTTATTTATTTATTTATTTATTTATTAGGTAAGCTGCTTGAGTTCCCCATACAGTCTGATTTTCAGTTCCTTCTCTGAGGCATAGTTTGCAAATATATTCTCCCATTCCAAGGGTTGCCAAGTCACATCATTGTTTCTTTTGCTATAAGAAGCTTTTTAACCTGATATATTTCCCTTGTCATTTTTTGGGATTATTGCCTGTGCCTTGAGGTTTTTCGTTAGTTTATTTTTAGAGGTTTTGCCGTATGGTATGTGTGCTAGCTGGAGAGAGACACAGAGTCAGTGAGAGGGAAAATAAGAAAGTAAGAAATCATTCTCTAGGGAGATGCTATGCCACAATTCTTTCTCCTCCATTCTCTGTCTGGGATCTTGGGCCCAAACACACATGTGCTGGCATGATTTTCAAGCCACTGGGTCTGAGATTCAAACCATGATTGGCCATGTGGTACTCCAGCAATGTAACCACTACACTATCTGCTGGCCCTTAAGAGTCTTCTTTAAGAAGTCTTTGCCTACTCCAATATCTCTAAGAATTTCCCCTGTGTTTTCCACCATTAGTTTTGTAGTTTGAGATCTTAGGTTTGGATCCTTGATCCATTTTGAAGTCTTCTTTAAGAAGTCTTTGCCTACTCCAATATCTCTAAGAATTTCCCCTGTGTTTTCCACCATTAGTTTTGTAGTTTGAGATCTTAGGTTTGGATCCTTGATCCATTTTGAATTGTTGATTTTTGTTAATGGTGAGAGATAGGGGTCCAATTTCTTCTTTCTGCAGGTAGATACCCACTTTTTCCAGTAGCATTTCTTACAGACATTTTTGTTTCCCCACTAGATTGACTGGTGCCCTTCCTAGAAAATCAGTTAGATATACACTTTTGGGTTTGTTTCTGAGGTCTCTATTCTGTTCCATTGATCTACATCAAATTTGCAGATTAATTTGGGTAGGACTGACATTTTGATTATATTCATTATTCCAACCCAAGAATTTGGGGTTCTTTCCACTTTTTTGCATCATTTTCAATTTCTTCTTTTAGTTTTTCATAGTTTTATATTGTTTTGCCCTCTACAAGTATTTGCTAGGACTTCCAGCACTATATTGAAAAGCAATGTAGAAAGTGGGCAGACTTTTCTTTTCTAAAAGCATTTCTCATTTCTTTATGATGTTAGCTATGGGTTTTTCATATATGGCTTCTTTTCTGTTGAGAAATGTCCCTTCTATGTTGATTTTGCTAAGAGTGTTAATTATTTTTTTAATTTATTTATATTCATTCAATCACATTATTTAGCTTACAAAGTGAACATTTCAATATGTGAACATTTCTCCCCAGTCCAGTTGATCAAAATATCTTCAACCGATAACACCACACCTCCCCATCCCGTCAATGTTCTGCCTCCATATCATGACATCAGGTCTCAATGTCAACAAGGGTTTTCTTTTATTCAAAAACTGAAAGAAATGAGTTTCCTAGTTATATGTGGAAATTTATAGCAGCATTTGGAATAAGACATCATTTGTTTTTAAATTCTGCAATCTTATTCAAATAATGTTTTTCTAAGCTATTCACATATTTGTATTAAATCTAATATTCCTAAGTACTGTTTAACTTACAATACACAAAATTACTCTGAACTATTGCTCACTCTTAAATATTATTTCGTGTATCCTTTTCTCCCAGAAATTCCATTAGTCTTTCGCTAAACATGTGTAAGAATTCATGATGCAATAAAACCTGTCAGCAAGATACATCCTTATTGTTGACTTGGAATTGAATGTCCTTATCTCCCACACAATTGGAAGTTCAAACAATGGAACCTAAACACACTCTGGCACCTTCATGTAATATTAATCATAATGGAAAATAGCAATGATTTCCTAAGGTAAGTTGGCAGTTTTAACTAATGCATGAATACATATCAAAAAATCTTCCATTGGAAGATTACAGAATATGTATAAGAAATGCAAATGATTTCATAATTCTAAGGTATTTCTTATCACACATTGTATAATTAAGTGATTTTTGCTAAAAACATGATTATGGAGATATTATTGTCAAAAATCTATGTTTTTCATAAACACAGAAACACACATACATGTACACATATGTACATTTTTAAATAAGTTCAGGTGAAACACAGTTTTAGGTATGTCCTGGATATTAATCATATACATATCCTATGGAAAACCAGAAAAAAAATAGAAAACATTAAAGTCCATGAGTTTGTTTTCTGCAAAAAGGCACATGATGTCCCCTTATTAATCAAAACAGTTGAGAGTTTGGGCCTTTCAGCCCCTCATCTGCCAAAACAATGAAAGTAAGATCTGTTTTAGCTTTGTGTTTCCCAAAATCAGGATAATTGGGTGGCATGCAGGATAGGTCATTCCAATAGCTTGCCAAAGAATGAGGTTCACCTTTGTTAGCCGTCTATCAGAATTAGAAATTGCTATGATTACAGAAATAAAGTAAATGGCAAGAAGCAAGAGGAAAGAGATCACAGTTTGCAAAGATTTTATGTGGACCTTGAATCTGGTATCTTGAAATTCTTTTCCATAGAGTTGCATCTTCTTAAGATGTTTACACAGGGAACAGATTAAGAGCAGAAAACATATCAGGGATGCAGTAAAGGGTAGAATGTTTGCTACTGTGAAAACAGTCACATATGACATCTGTGCAAAATTCCTCAGTTTAATCTTATAAGTCATGTTCTCTTCACATTCTTTTATGTTCACACTCTCATGTATATTAACTGCTACAAGATGAAAAAACAAAATGACCAATGTCCCCAGCAATAACATTACAACTACTTGTTGAACTCTCCTTTTCAAGTGAAGAAAAATAAGGTTAGAGAAATTAGCAATCTTGAGCAAATAAAATATGCTGAGGCTAGTGGCAAACCAGATGCTAAAATGGTTGGCCACTGTCCAGGCATTGTGAATAATAATTCTTAATCCCATAGTATAGAAATCTGGATGAAACACAATTATGTACCAGTGCATTAATATTACCCAGAGCAAACAAATTCTGGAAATCGCCAGAGCAGTGAGGATTTGATCAGCGGAGGATATCTTTTGTCTCTTCACCCAGTCAGTGAAGTTCACCAGTGCTATGAATCCATTGGCAAAATTTCCAAAAACAAATTCTGTCATTAGTAGAGTGTAAAAAATGATAGGTAGTAACCTCATCATGCCTGAATAGCAACAACAAAAAATAAAATCAGAAAAAAACTTCAGTATCACTGGTTATTTTTTTAATATCCTGACCTTTAGTTCTGTATCCACCATATTTCTCAGAGTCCAGTAAATTCTCTGGTCAATGTCAAGCAGGAAGCACCATAGCATGCTAATGAAAGTTATTGCCATCTTTATGGAAAACATAGTTTTCTCAATTAGCTCAAATAAACTCCTATTCAAACACTAGATGCCTTGCATATAGGTGGAATCTTTCTTATCTCATATCGAAATAAGAACTGAACTTTCATTTGCAAGCACGCAAATAATGATATATTTTCTTTCCTTATTTTGCAATATTCCCTTGATTAAGTTTTGCATAATTTGTGTTCTGTAACCATAGTGCTAGGAAAACTTAAAGCCAATATGTAAAACACGCGTGAATGTCTAGATCGTTAGATGGATCTTTGTCTAACTGTGATCACTACACTGGATTTCTTTTCTTTAAGTCAGATTTATATGAAAACAATCTAAACTTTTCCTTTCATAAGCATTCAAAATCATTATGTGGAAGATATATCTGCATTCTTTTGACTGTATATAAAAACAATTTGTAATTTCTTTCAATATACTTAGAAGAAAGGATTTAAAATGCTTCCAAAATAATGAGAAGATACATGTTTAAGGTGATGGACATGCTGATCATCCTGCTTTTATCACCATACATCACCTGCATGTCTGGAAAAGTCACTCTGTATCCCACAGATATGTAGAATTATTATGTATCAATTAAACAAAATAACAAAAGTTTAAAAATAGTATGCAAGGCTTTCTTGGGAACACAAAGGTCAATACTTTCAAAAACATGGTTGACAATATTGAATACTTTTGCATAATTTTTACTCCTTTTTTCATTTTCAGTATGCTTAATTTATTTAAATGTAATTACAGATATCCAATGATCACCCCTCAGGGGTGATGGCCACGCCACAATCCCTTCTCCTCCATTCTCCTCTTGGGATCTTGGGCACGCACACACACGCGCCCGGCATGAGTTTTAAGCCACCAGGTCTGGGACGCGAACCACAGTCAACTATGTGGGAATCCAGCGACATGGCCATTACTCTAACTGCTGGTCCCATGCTGACATTCTTTTTGAACAGTAAACATTTTTAAATTTTTTTATATATTCAATCACTGTGTGTCATTACATTATGCAAAAAGAATTTTTCCCACATAAATCCACTGAGTATTAGTCTAGTTAATGAAATACACATTATTATCAATGAATAATTTTCCATTTTTGTGATCCTTAAATGTTTTATTCCTTTCTTTTTCCTCTTGGCTCCCTTCCTCTCACCCTCTCCCATTTCCCACCCTACTCCCACACTGGCTCTAGTATCCCCATACCTTTCAGTCTTCCACTTTCTGCCATAGAGTGCAATCATTCAATGTGATTGTCTTGGGACATTCAATGGCTCTCTTTCATAGTCTGTCTTGCTTCACTTAGCAATAAATTTTCCATATTCATCCACTTTCTATCAAATGCCAAGGTCTCATTGTTCTTTTATGGCTAAGTAGTGTATATGTGTATGCACATACATAGTGTATATGTGCTACACTTTTTGAATCCATTCATCTGTTCGTGGATGTTTGTATTGGTTCCATGTCTTAACAATTGTGAATAATGCCACAATAGACATGTATGTGCAAGCACTTTTCTGACTGAGTGTATTCCTATGCTTTGGGTAGATACCCAGCAGTAGAATTGCTCACTCACATGGCAGTTCTATTTGTAGGTCTTTGAGGAACCTCCATATTGCTGTCCATATAGCTTGTACTAATTTTATTCCATACATAGTGTAGGAGAGTTCCCTTTTCACCACAGCCTTGCCAGCACTTATCATTTATATTTTTTTTAATCTTAGCCATTCTGACTGGGATTAGACAGTATCTCACTGTGGTTCTGATTTGCATTTCCCATATAGTAAAGGATGTTGTGTATTTTTTGATATGCTTTTTGGTTGTTCATATGTCTTTCTTAGAGAATTGCCAGTTCAGTTCATTTTCCCATTTTTAAATTGTGTTGCTGATTTATTTATTTATTTATTTATTTATTTATTTATTTATTAGGTAAGCTGCTTGAGTTCCCCATACAGTCTGATTTTCAGTTCCTTCTCTGAGGCATAGTTTGCAAATATATTCTCCCATTCCAAGGGTTGCCAAGTCACATCATTGTTTCTTTTGCTATAAGAAGCTTTTTAACCTGATATATTTCCCTTGTCATTTTTTGGGATTATTGCCTGTGCCTTGAGGTTTTTCGTTAGTTTATTTTTAGAGGTTTTGCCGTATGGTATGTGTGCTAGCTGGAGAGAGACACAGAGTCAGTGAGAGGGAAAATAAGAAAGTAAGAAATCATTCTCTAGGGAGATGCTATGCCACAATTCTTTCTCCTCCATTCTCTGTCTGGGATCTTGGGCCCAAACACACATGTGCTGGCATGATTTTCAAGCCACTGGGTCTGAGATTCAAACCATGATTGGCCATGTGGTACTCCAGCAATGTAACCACTACACTATCTGCTGGCCCTTAAGAGTCTTCTTTAAGAAGTCTTTGCCTACTCCAATATCTCTAAGAATTTCCCCTGTGTTTTCCACCATTAGTTTTGTAGTTTGAGATCTTAGGTTTGGATCCTTGATCCATTTTGAATTGTTGATTTTTGTTAATGGTGAGAGATAGGGGTCCAATTTCTTCTTTCTGCAGGTAGATACCCACTTTTTCCAGTAGCATTTCTTACAGACATTTTTGTTTCCCCACTAGATTGACTGGTGCCCTTCCTAGAAAATCAGTTAGATATACACTTTTGGGTTTGTTTCTGAGGTCTCTATTCTGTTCCATTGATCTACATCAAATTTGCAGATTAATTTGGGTAGGACTGACATTTTGATTATATTCATTATTCCAACCCAAGAATTTGGGGTTCTTTCCACTTTTTTGCATCATTTTCAATTTCTTCTTTTAGTTTTTCATAGTTTTATATTGTTTTGCCCTCTACAAGTATTTGCTAGGACTTCCAGCACTATATTGAAAAGCAATGTAGAAAGTGGGCAGACTTTTCTTTTCTAAAAGCATTTCTCATTTCTTTATGATGTTAGCTATGGGTTTTTCATATATGGCTTCTTTTCTGTTGAGAAATGTCCCTTCTATGTTGATTTTGCTAAGAGTGTTAATTATTTTTTTAATTTATTTATATTCATTCAATCACATTATTTAGCTTACAAAGTGAACATTTCAATATGTGAACATTTCTCCCCAGTCCAGTTGATCAAAATATCTTCAACCGATAACACCACACCTCCCCATCCCGTCAATGTTCTGCCTCCATATCCCTCCTCCAAGAAGTGTTAATTATGAAGGAATGCTGTATTTTATCAAATGCTTTTTCTGCATCGATTGCTATGATCATATGATTTTTCTCTTTTTATTAATATGGTTTATTACATTTATGGTTTTGCATATGTTGAACCAGCCTTACATCCCTGGAATAAAGCCTACCTGGTTGAGGTGTTATAATCTTGTTAATATGTTGTTGAATATGATTTGCTGGTATCTTGTAGAGAGTTTTTTCATTAGTATTTATCAGAGATGTAGCTCTGTAGGTTTTTTTGCTGTTTTTCTGGGTTTTCTTTTTTTTTTTTTTTAAATATCATTGTCTGTTTGGGACATGAGGGTGATGGAGGCTTCATAAAATGAATTTTTGGAGGGGTTCCTTCCTCTAGGACCTTTAGAAACAATTTGAGTAGAATGGTGTTAGCACTTATTTAAAAATTTTGTAGAATTTAGAAGTGAAACCATCAGGATCTAGACTTTTCTTTGTTATGAGTTTATTTATCACTGGTTTAATCTCATTGCTTGTTACTGATCTATTCAAGCTTTCTATGTCTTCTTGATTAAGTCTTGGTATATTATGTATTTGTCCATATATCCCAGGATTTTTTTGTTTGTTGGTGTATACTTGCTCATAATATTCTCTAATTATATTTTGTATTTCTATTATATCTGTTGTGACATTGCCTGTTTCATTGCAAATTTGGTTAATCTGCTTACTTTCTCTCTTCTTCATAATTAGTCTAGCTAATAATGTATCAGTTCTGTTTACTTGCTCAAAGAATGAGCTTTTGGTTTATTTATTTTATGTATAGTGTGTCCTATTATCTATTTCACTTATTTCTGCTCGAATCTTTATTATTTATTTTTCCCTGAATTGTTTTTGGTTTTCGTTATTGTTTTCCCAGTTCAACGTGATATGTTCTTAGGTTGTTTATTTGCCGCCATTCCACCTTATTCTTATGTTCATTTATTACTATGAACTGTCTTCTTGTGACTAATTTTGCTGTGTCCCATAGGTTATGAAAACTCATGTACTTGATATTGGTGTCAATGAATCTTTTACTTTCAGTATTCATTTCTTCAATGCTTGTAAAGTCATTCAGGTGTAGGTTGCTTACTTTCCATATATTTGTGTATTTTTAAGGTTTTTTTCCTGATATTAAAGTTAAGATGCTGGGTATAGTTCCTATGCTTTGAATTTGTAAAGACCTGTTTTGTGCCTTTTCATGTGGTCATTCTTTGAAAAGTTTCCTTGTAGGAGTGAGAAAAATGTATATTTTGTGGTTATTGGATGGGAAGTTCTATAGATGTCTGTCAAGTCCACTTCTTTTATGGTGTTATTCAGATACTGTATCTATTTGCTTATTTTTTGTCTAGATAATCTGTCCAAAGGAAATAGTATGGTGCTGAGATTCCCCAACAATCAGTGTGTTGCAGCCTATCTTTCTCTTTCGATCTAGCAGTCTTTCTTTCATGCGTTTGGCTGCTCCCAAGTTCTGTAAATAGATATTTATAAGTGATTTATCTTCTTGATGAACTAACCCTTTTAGTACTATATAATGTCCTTCTTTGTCACTTCTTACAGTTTTTTATTCCTTTGTTAAAAAAAGGTTTAGAATTATTTATTT